ATAGCTGTAGCTATAGTTATTGCCAGTACAGTATGAGATTGCTCTGAATTTGACCATATTTGTACTGTTATTGAGTTTTATATTTTTGTGTTATTTTATGACATATTTTTGTCTCAGCCAGAACTCCTTTTACCAATTTTGTAATTGTGTATATAATATAATATTTGCCATATTCTTTTGATGAGGAAATGATGGTTCCACTTTTGCCCAATAGGAAGGAATAGCACTATGATGTAAATAATAGGAAGCAGAGTTTATGGCAACCACTCTATGAGTTTTCCCACCATGGTCTTCATATTGACTCCTAATTCTATAACTTTCAGTTTCTTGCTATACTGTATCTGCTGGCATATTATCTTTCAATTTGTAGTAAAGTATTCTAATTCAGTCCAGCACCTTTGAAAATTTTAACAGTTGAATTACAACTTCATCTTAGGGACTAAAGGTGCTTCATCAACATAGCTCATGGGTATTTGTTGTCAGCCAAACAATGACAGATTCTGCGCATTGCAAAATGTATCTCATGGCCTGTCTTCTTACATGATTGCTGGTACTGATTTCTGGTTTCATATGAAAATGAAAGAGCAGAATATTTTTCAAGGTAACACCTTTTGGCAAACAGAAAAAAAAAAAAAAAAAACAGAAATAAAACAGATTGAACAAAGAAAGAAATCAACTTGGAATGTTATCCTAACAGCCTAACTCTGCACAGGCAAATCTGAAGCTAAAATGGCCCATGTGAGAGTTCTCCTCCTCTTCTATCAATACTGATTTTATTCTTCATAACATTCAATTAATGAATATGGCTATCTGTAGAATGGCATAAATTGAAGTGATGCAGTTTCCCGAAGCTTGGTTAATTCCTTCTGACGCCGAAAGTTTAGGCTCCCTGATGGCTTTCTGAAAGCATTATCAGCACCTTGAACAACAATTTTGTCTTTGAAAGGAGTACTGGGTGATCCATCTTTGAGTCTAAATCCACCACCTACTTCTCCTTCAGAACCAAGTAACTACTTCTAAAGGGTATATTCTGAAACTTCCAAAGTGAGTTTCTCCTTAGAAATTGCCTGAACCTAAGGAACCTGCCTACTTTGTCCAAGGTCCGGCTCACCACCTGAGGGCAGCCTGTGGTTAATGTCTGACCAAATGGGACATGATGGTGCCCTAACCTCAATGGTGATAAGACTGAAGAGCCATCCTAGTTTTAGATTTCCCTCGGGGATTCTCTGAAGTAGCTCTTTTTGGGGAACCACGTCTACCATCTCTCTGCACATTCCATTGCAGGGACTTTTCCCAAGAGAACATGTACTAAATAAATAAATAAAATCCTGCATACATATCTTAGAGACTCAGTGCCAGTTTCCATGGAAGGTGACCTGATACACCTGTCCCGTGGTAAGCTTCAAGTCTTTGATTTCTCAGAGATTAATAAAAGTGTTTTTGATATATAATTTAATACTGTAGATCTTGACATTTCTCTTCTTCCATAAGATGACTATTTTATGACATTCTTTCCTCCGGACTGCTATACCTTTTTGTCTGTGTAACTGATTCCTTTTTGTTTGAGGAGTTGGGAATTGTGACATGCCCTGTGGTTCTGTGCTAGGACTTCTCTTTCATGTGCTTGCATTCTTAAGATATAAACTATGTGTTGATGACTTCTGAGGACTGTATATACTAATATCTTGTCTGAGTTCTAGATACCTATATTTAACTGCAATTAACAATTCTACCTAGATACTGTAAACTCAGCATACTCAAAGCAAAATCAAACATGTCATTCTTATTTCTGCATCTTGCATTCGTTCTTCATACACAATTCATTATGAATAATTATTAATCCTGTCTCCAAAATTAAAAACACATGATAGCAATCCTTATAGCCACAAAGCCATATTTGTCCTGCAAGTCTTGCTACAGATTATACTTGCTCTTGATGAACCTACTCATTAATACCAAAATCCATTCTTCACAACTGCGTCAACTTGATATAATAAATGACATCTGCCGTCCTCATGCTTATTTCAATGACTTCTTTGCTTTGAATAAAACATTCCTAATCATTGCTTGCATGGTTCTAAATTATCTGACAAACTCACAAACCTTGACTGTTTCCTTTAATGATGACTGTGTTTCAGCAGTCTGATCTTTTCATATTCCCTAAAAACTGCAAGTTCTGTTCAAATTGCAGCCTGTGCAGAGACCGACAACAGCGTCTCAGGATCCATTCTTCTCTTCTTCTTTTCTGTAAGAGTCACCTGAATTGAAGCAATAACATGCCTGGCAGCTGCAAACTATGTTCCCAGTTTCTTTATTGAAGTGTGATCAAATTCAGACCAATGGAATGTGAACAGAGATAAAATATATAACTTTTATGACTGTCATCTCCATAAGGACATCCGTGGTTTCTCTTTTATCCTTCACACTATCAATGTAATGGTCAAGACAAGAATGTTGGGATCCTATAACTGAGAAGACAAGGGAACATAGTAAGATCTGGACCACAAATCTTGGATGTATGCAAAAGCAAAATCAAAAAAAAAAACAACTTTCATTTTAAATCACTGAGGATTTCTTTGTCTGGAATGCGATTTTCCCAGATCTTTGTGTGACTCTTCCTTTTGTGTTTACATATGTCTCTGAACAAATGTCCCTACAAAGCTCTCTATTTTTTCATTAATAACTGAAGTTACTCAGTTATTTTGTTTTATTTTATTTTGTAAAATCAAAGTAAGAAGAAATTGTATCTGTCTTCTTCATCATTGTTAACTTAGCACCCTTAGACCCAGAGTAGAAACTCAACAAATATAGACAGTAATCATGTTTTCTTTGATGATTTTCTTAATTTGAATTAAATTATGAAGTAATTTAAATATTAAATTAAGTTTTGAATTATTTTTGCTTTATTGATAGCAAGTAATAGACATCATGTCTTTAATAACCACTAGGATTGTTTGATATATTAAGAAACATTTAAATATATGAAAGGTTACAGAGTAGATGGAAAAATCAACAAAAATGACTTTCATGGGGCTTGCTATTCATTCAGAGTTAGCCTAGTGTTTTTGGTAACTTACAATTATTCTATTTAGTTTAGAAAATACAACATATTATATATGAGAATGTAAAACACTGCTGGATTTAATTTTACTGTGAGGAAGCATCATAGTTTCAATGCAGAGTCTATTTCTTTTGGAATCTTTATCAGGAAGCTGTTCATTGTCAGAAAATGCAGAATAAAATGTTCCATTATTTACCACCATATACAAAAATGAATCTGCCCAAGAGAATATTAATAATGACAAAAAAATGTATAACCAGGAAACCAAAGTCAAATACCAGTGGCAAGATAGAGAAATGAATGGAAAACAACAGCACCCTGGGTTCAAACCTATTTTCTAATAATTTTTTCAGTAAGTATTTTTCAGAGGATAATGGAGAAAAAATCCACTTTTATAGATCAATGCTACCTAAATTATGCTTTAAGCAGGGACATAAACAAAAATGAAAAGTTCTCCAGCCATATTTTTATAAAAACAATTGTGGAAAACAAATTATTATTCTTTCACATATCCTATATTACAAAAAAAATGAAAGATGAAAAGGAGAATACATTCAGAAAAGAATGAAGCTAGGTTTATCATGATGTCCTTGGCTAAGAAAAAGCTGAGTTGTCTGAATTACACTCTATAGTTTCTCCAAATGATATGCATAATGTTTTGTTAACTGTATATACAAATATATAAAAGTACAAGTATATAGTTATTAATACACAAACATATATGTTCATATCTATATTTGGAGATTTTAGGGCTTTGATAAAGCAAAAGATAGAACAACCAGATGATAGTAACATAATCAGCTCCAGTCTGCCCAAGAGTGGCTCTTGGGAATAGGCAGAGAACTCCAGGAAAGGAGTTGGGAGAGCAGACTTCCATGTCTAGAAGATGTAGCGCCACCACACAGCAGGGAGTCAGAGAGCTCTGAAGGACAGCAGTGAGTTGGAGTCTTTGGATCACTGGGAGCTGGGAAAAGTTGGAAGATAGTTCATGAGGTGTCATAGTTTATATAAAGCAGTCAGCTTCTAAATGGTTAGATATCTGCTCATTTGGGCTATTTTAAAAGTATTTGGGTGTGTAAAATTCCGATTTATAAATTTATAAGCAGTGAATATATGAACTGTTGAAATCCACTGTGCAATTTATGCAAGTAAACTTGTTAAGACCCAATACACACATGTTTTGATAAATTATGTAGCTCATATGTATTTCTTTTTATATCTCCTTTTTTCTTTCCTTTTTATTTATTTATTTGTTCTGGTATACCCTTTTAAAAATATTTATGTATTTAAATGACACAGTTATATATACAGAGAGAAGGCAGGAGAAAGACCTTCTATCCTCTGGTACAATCCCTAAATGGCTGCAATGGCCAGGTCTGGGCCATTCCAAAACCAGAAGCCAGTAGATTATTCTGGGTTCTCCCTCCTGGGAATGGAAGCCTAAGGACTTGGGACATCATCATCTGCTTTTCCGGCAGGGAGCTGGACCAGAAGTGGAGCAGCTGGACTACAACTGCTGCTCATATGGGATGCTAATGTTGTAGGTAGTGACTTTACCCACTGTGCCACAGCACTGGCCCCTTTGTATACTTTTATGAGGCATAGTGCAATGTTTTAATAATTGCGCAGAAGTTAACCTGATAAAATCAGGAAAAAAACAGATCCTCCTTTCTCTACTCTTTCTATCAGTCTTTGTGTTGTTCAGATGTCTAAGCCTAATTACAGAGTGTGTCTTCAGATAGTATAAATAATTTTTACCATATGCATATGGATAATAATTTTAAATGCTTGTTATTTTATTTTCTGTATTTATCAATTTATTTGAGGAATGCAGAGAGAAAGGAGAGAAAATTCAGAGAGAGAGATACAGAGAAAGACGGACACAGAGGTAGACAGAGCCACAGAGAGCAAGATTTCTGACCTGCTGGTTCATTTTTAGATGCCAGCAACAGCCAGAGCTGGGCCATGCTGAAACTTGGAGCCAGGAACTGAATTCACGTTACCTACATGAATAGCAGGGACCCGACTACTTGAGCCCTCACCAGAAGCCTTGCAGGAAGAAGGAAGCTGGAATCATGGGAAGAGCTGGGACTCATTCCGAGGTACTCAAACATGGAATGCAGTTTTCCCCATCAGCACCTTAACTACTAGGCCAACGCCCAGCACTGCAGTTATGTTTATATCGAGATACTAGTTCTACTTAGATGTGTTTATGCTTACACTGCTTCGCCTGTCAAAAAAAAATTTAAAAAAAAAGAGTGTAATTACAGAAAACTTCTTTGAAATTATTTGCCCATAATATCATTTCTGAAATACTGATTTCCTCTAATATTATCTAGTTTTAATATTTTTCTACAAAAATAAGACATAATTTTTTAAACTTTTAATTAGTAAATATAAATTTCCAAAGTACAGTTTATGGATTACAATGGCTATTCCCCCCCCCATAACTTCCCTCCAACCTGCATCCCTTCCATATCCCGCTCCCTCTCCCATTCCATTCACATCAAGATTCATTTTCAATTCTCTTTATATACAGAAGATTGATTTAGTATATATTAAGTAATGATTTCATCAGTTTGCACCCACACAGAACATAAAGTGTAAAATACTGTTTGAGTACTAGTTATCGCATTAATCACATTGGACAACACATTAAGGACAGAGATCCTACATGAGGAGTAAGTACACAGTAACTTCTGTTGTTGACTTAACAATTTTTTTTTTTTTTAAATTTTTGACAGGCAGAGTGGACAGTGAGAGAGACAGAGAGAGAAAGGTCTTCCTTTGCCGTTGGTTCACCCTCCAATGGCCGCCGCTGCAGCCGGCGCACCGCGCTGATCCGATGGCAGGAGCCAGGATCCAGGTGCTTTTCCTGGTCTCCCATGGGGTGCAGGGCCCAAGCACCTGGGCCATCCTCCACTGCACTCCCTGGCCATAGCAGAGAGCTGGCCTGGAAGAGGGGCAACCGGGACAGAATCCGGCGCCCTGACCGGGACTAGAACCCGGTGTGCCGGCGCCGCAAGTTGGAGGATTAGCCTAGTGAGCCACGGCGCCGGCCTGACTTAACAATTTGACACTCTTGTTTATGGTGTCAGTAATCTCTCTAGGCTCTAGTCATGAGTTGCCAAGGCTATGGAAGGCTTTTGAGTTCGCCGACTTCAATCTTATTTAGACAAGGTTGTAGTCAAAGTGGAAGTTCTCTCCTCCCTTCAGAGAAAGGTACCTCCTTCTTTGATGGCCCATTATTTGTACTGGAATCTCACTCACAGAGATCTTTCATCTTTCATTTAGGTGTTTGTTTTTTTTTTTTTTGTTTTTTTTTTTTTTGCCAGAGTGTGTTGGCTTTCCATGCCTAAAATACTCTCATGGGTTCTTCAGCCAGATTCAAATGCCTTAAGGGCTGATTCTGAGGCCAGAGTGCTGTTTAGGACTTCTGCCATTCTATGAGTCTGCTGTGTATCCTGCTTCCCATGTTGGATCATTCTCTACCTTTTTTATTCTATCAGTTAGTATCAGCAGACCCTAGTCTTAGAAAAAGTATTTATCTTCATTCAACCCATAACAGAACTTCAAAATAATGAAAATTTACAACAAAGATATAGTTAGTATACTGCATAAAAGTCTCATTACATTTATTCTAATTAAAGTATTAGACAATGCTTTTCTTGATTTACATTGTAAGTTACATGAGGTCTCAGATCCTTTGCTAACACAACGACTTCAAGAGTTCGAGAAAAGTATCTGATATATAGTAGGCCCCTAGTGAATAACTGTTGATTACCTATGATTGACGAGATAATAAACTATTTGTTGTGTGATTGGATTTTGCAATGTTTTAATATATCATGTGTTATAGACTAAATAAACTTATCCAGTAATTGCAGTAAAAGTAAACTAGAGGTATTGAATCAGCAGATGGCACAACTTTTCTATAAAGAGCTAGCCAAAATTTTAAGCTTTGGAGCCTTAAAGTTTCAATTGTCATTAATTAGCTGTGGTGTTGTAAATAGCAAGTAGTCCTAAGAAACAGTACATGAACTGTGATCCCAACATCCTGTTAAGAAAGAAACATTTCTAGACTTGGAAGCATGTTAGATCCATAGACAGATAATCTATCAGTATTGGTTTCTGATGTGTCAGCTTTCTTTGCCTTTTAGTTTTCAAATTCATGCTTTTAAGAACAACCAAGCTAAACTAAAAGATAAACCTGGGGCCAGTGCTGTGGTGCAGTGTGTTAAAGCCTTGGCCTGAAGTGCGGACATCATATTGGGCTCCAGTTCGAGACCCAGATGCTCCACTTCGATCCAGCTCTCTGCTGTGGCCTGGGAAAGCAGTGGAAGATGGCCCAAGTTCTTGGTCCCCTGCACCCACGTGGGAGACCCGGAATGGGGTCCTGACTCCTGGCTTTGGATTGGCGCAGCTCCAGCTGTTGCAGACAACCGGGGAGTGAACCAGCGGATGGAAGAACTCTCTCTCTCTCTCTCCCTCTCTCTCTCTCTCTGCCTCTCCTTCTCTCTCTGTGTAACTCTAACTTTCAACTAAATCTTAAAAAAAGCCTAATAATTAGAAAAAAATTACATGTAATCTAGGTGGGCCTATAAATCCAAGTTATTTTGAGAGTTTGGGATTGCTCAACCTTGTCTGTGTGAGGGGTGCTTTGCCAGAATGTGAATTTTACTCAGCATAACTCTGCTTCCTTTCCTTCTATTCTACAGGTGTTAATACCAAACATGATCCTTAATAGGGTCTGTATTGAGGCAGCTTTCCAAGCAATCAAGCAACACCACTTGGTGCTTGTGTCTCAAACTAGATTAATATCTGCAACAGTAGATAGCATTTCTGCTTCCCTTAGCAGTGCATAATCAGCCTAACACTGTGGATAGTACCTGGTTCTTTCTCACTAGTATTGCTTATATAGATGAAATACAATGTAATTATCAAAATTATCGAAATTGTGGAATGTATACTAAAATATGATATGTTAGCAATTTAAGCAATAAGCAAAATATATCATAAAATAATAATGTAAATATTTATATGAATTTTATGTATGTGTAACATATAAGTGTACAAGAAATTATTAACGTTATCTCTGACTGTAGGTTAGTATTTTTCTGTCTTCCTTTAGATCATCTGCACTAAAATTTTTCTATAATGGAGCAGTTACAATTTTTACAATTAATTCATAAAATAAGTGAGGGCTGAGTGCCTTTGTATGCAGTAATTGCAGACATTAGCTATCTATAAGATTGCAAATCTAATGGCATTTAGGAACCAGACAAATGAAGGGCAGATCTCTTTCTTGTCTAAACCTGGTCTGGCATGGACGAATGAGTAAAGGTTTAGTCTCACATAATTCTATTCTAAACTTAGTTCACTTGTGTCTATCTATTTCACAGAATTAAGGTGTTACGGTATTGAGACATTTTACATGACTTCTTCCATGTGCACATTTCAAAAGATTCAAACAGAAGCTACCAGAATTTGCATGAGCTAGCATCAGAAGCCTTCCAGTGTCACATCTGTTCTATTTCATTCACAGATAAAACCGACATGAATAAACTTTGATTTCATTGAGAAATAGGTACAACAGCCCTGGAGAAAAACAACTGGTGGTCCCATCTTGGTGTCAAGCCAATGCATAATCAAGAAGTATAGTTTTCAGCCAGGTTTAAAGTCCTTGAACAGAAAAGATATTTGACATATCAAAATCTGATATAAATAACCAAATATGTTTTGTTGGGTTCAACCATAATATTTTAGTGTATATTTTCTTCTTCTGTGTGTTTTATTTAAAATGTTTTATATGTAGAGTATTGGCTACCTTCAGAGATTTGGGAGGCCAATATTCATATTCTTTCTATGATTTAAAAGTGATCTCTTTTACTTATTGTAAAACATATTATAAACTTTATTAAGTGAAATTTTAAAACTTTATTAAATGAAATGAAATTTAATTTTACCTCAGGTTCTACTTTCAAACTAGTGATTGGCTGGAGCTCAAAAGAATGATATTTCTTGACTTCAGGATGTTAACAAATATTTAGCTATTGTTTGAATTTTAATTGAAGTTAATTTACATACTTATATGTACTGTTTTCCTTTTCTTAAAACTCTATAGATTGGTAGAACCCCACTCCCTTCAGGCCTTGAACATTCTCTGTAAAATATGTAAACTTTATCAATTGACATATTAAATAATAAAACATTAGGGGAAATTTTACTTTTATAATATAACATTTTAGTCCCCTTCTTAAACTTGCATATTCTGTTTTGATATGCTTCATTTTCTTCACATATACCATGAGAATATTGAAATTTTAGAATCTCCAAGAGCTTCCAGAGAGGCAGAGTTAATCTTCACATCCTTGCTAAAAAGATAGTGGTCCATACATAGCAATCAAGAGAGAAAAGATACATTTACACCTGTTTTTATTGCCTCTGCCTTGAAGTTTCATAGATCCACTTTTACTAAGAGTTTACTGATCAGAAACATGTGGCCTCATCCACCTGCATTAAAATGAATGTATTAGAGGCAAATGAAATATACAGTGAACCTTGCTGTCCTCTTTAGAATTTAGTAGCAATATCAGAGAGATATTAAAAATCAACACTTTGGGGCACTGCTTGGGATCCCTGTATTCCATATTGGTTCCAGTCTCAAATACTGTGCTTCTTATCTAGCTTGCTGTTATGTCCACCCTCAAGGCAGCAGTGATGGCTCAAGTATTTGGATCTCTGCCACTCAAATAGGAGATGTAGAATGAGTTTTGGTTTCTTGATTTTAACCTGGCCCAGTTCTGGCTGCTACAGACATACAGGGAATGAACTCATGAATAAATATATCATTCTGTCTGTCTGTCTGTAGCTTTCAAATGAGTAAAAATAAATAAATAAAATTTTCATGTGGAGAACGTTTGGCTTGGCAGGTAACAATCCTGTTGGGATGCCCACATCTTGTATTAGAGTGCCTTAAAATCCCACCTTCACTCCCTATTCCAGCTTCTGGCTTTCTGTTAATGTGTACCAGGTGATGGATCAAGTAGTTGGATCCCTACCATACCATGGGAGATCTAGATTGAGTTACTAGTTTCCAGCATTTGGGGAATGAACCAAACAATGGGTTTGCCCCCACCATTAAAAAATCAAAACTTCATCCCTTTCCCCAAAATCATAGTGACTCAAGTCACCAAGAAACCATAACAAACTTGACTTGATATGGAAGTCTTATGAAATCAATCTCATTCTCAATTCCTTGGGCTAACTGTGCTGCTTACGTCTTACTATGTATGTAACTATTGGCAACTCTCAGGGTAAGCCCAAACAATGGAGTTTTACCATCATTGTAGGAAGAATAACTTATTTACAAAAAGAACTGTAAGATCCAGTGTTTCTAGGATTTACTTCTAAAGCTTGGAAATAGTAATGATCACAATGGCATTGAGCCTACACAGTGGAAAAGGTTAAGGAGAGCAGAAAACCAGTCATGTTAGAAAGAGTTATCATGTCAAACAAAAGCCAAGACACTGAGTTGAGTTCCTCAAGATGACAACAAGAAAAATATCTTGACTGCAGTGAGAAGTTCCTATTACCTGTCCTCTATGGACCAAAATGGACATGGAAATTAATTGGAAATTCAGACATCTGGATGATTTCCAGGCATTTATCCTTAGATAACAACTCATTGCCCCATACATGGCCATCATAAATACAACATACTTGGGGAGCTGCTTTGGGCTTTAGAAGCAGTCTATGGGGCATTTAGTGACACATTATGTGACCTAATTTTAAAAAATTATAATGCTGCCAATTTTGAGTGCTACCAAGTACACTAGAGTTCTGTAGCAAGTCTAGATTGTAATTCAAATTTTTCAGCCCCTCAGTAGGACAAAATGATGTTAAGGAATCCAGAATAGATAAAAATCATGAATAGAGCCTCTAGAGAACCCCCGGCAAGATAGTTCTAGTACACATCCCTGGTATTCTATGTATTTTGCAGCATAGACATATCCCCCATTTAAAGAACATCTTCTGAAAGTTTTGGCTGTTATTAGAACATGAGTTCTGGGGCCAGCCTTATGGAGCAGCTGGTTCAGCTACCACCCATTATGCAATTTTAAAGTATTTGTGTGCTGGTTTAAGACCCAGCTGCTCTCTATCCAGTCCAGCTTCCTACTAATGCACCTGGGAAAGCAGAGGAAGATGGTACAGGTACTTGGACTCTGCCACCATGTGGGATACCTGGAAGGAGTTTCAGGCTCATGGCTTTTGCCTGGCCCAGCCTTGTCTGTTGCGGCCACTTGGGGAGTCAACTAGACGATGGAAAATTGCATTCACTTCTTTCCCCAGCTCTCTCTATCACTCTGCCATTCAATAAGAGTAAAATAAAATTTTAAAAACATATATAATATAGGAATTGCCTAATTTAAAAAATAGTAAAGAGTGTAAGAAGTTATTATATAATAAAGGACATACAACTAGAGACAGCTGCTTTGAGCTGGAAAATTTTATAATTGACTACTTATAAAGTTAGGCAGTTGCAACAAATTATTTTAAGATAGAATTACTCTGTTTAGGACTAGAGCCTGGTAGGTTACAGGTAGAAATCAAAATAATACAAATAACTTAGAAGTGTAACAGGCCCAGACTTCCATATTATTTACCTCTTTTAAACAGAAATCTATTCCTCTGCTTATATCTATAGAGTTTTAAATATAATTCTTTAAAATGATCTGTGGCTCAGAGTAGGAAATATCCCACAAATGTTTCACATATATGTCTACGTGGCTAAAATGTTCTTTCATTATACTTCTACTGAAAATGGCATTAAAATTTAGTGGTAAAAGGGAATATTTTTAAGCAGAGTTTTGAGGAACATTCTTGCCTATGTCATTTAGTTGAAAAAATAAAATTTTTAAACGAGACATTTGTGGACTAGTTGTAGCACTGGCAAATGACTTGATAGCTTTATTACAGCCTTGAACTTGCCCTGACCAAGATGATACCTGTACAGAAAAGTCGTGCATGGGGATCAATGCATGTGAATATACAATTGTTCAAATCTTTGTTCTGATGCTAACAAATACCAATAGGCATTTACCATAGAGGAGGCACAAAATATCCAGGTAAATAGTCTGATCCTTTTAATGGAGAGGCCATTGGGTCTATCAATCTAACTAATGCTTGTCCAAAAACTTTTGAAAAGATTAGTCCAAGTGAAAAAGACTGGGGGTGAGCATCTGACCTGAAATGTGGACTCCTTGTCATCAATGATAATCTAGTTACAAAACTGCCAAATGTGTACTTATCCGTAGAGACCAAAACTGAGATATCCATAAGTTACCCTAGTCTCCTCCATCATTGAGGAGGCCAAAAATTAGCTTGCATGCCCATCAAAAAGAATCCATGAATTTGTGTGATTATCAGTTTCAAATATAGTTTTGTGCCTCATGCTCAATAACACATTATAACCTTTTATAGAATACCTAACATGAGAATCAGCACAGGATACCCCATATTAAGGGGTCCATGTTGGGTGAATGAGTTACATCAAACTATAATAAATTTAGTCTAAATCAGCCTGTCTGCCCAACCTATAAGTCTGGCATAAAGTAGCCTCCAAATATAGTGAACAGCACCCTAGTTTGATGTGCTAATAAATTTTAATCTATCTTAGTAGTTTCCCTTATAATCAAGCAACTGAATCTGAGCCATCACTGCAGTTGAGCCTCAGCCAGTCACAGGTTGACAACTGATCAGACTGTGTCCATATAAGCAAATGCCAGATGCAGCAATCAGATTGTTTCTGTCTGTCACTTTCTAATCTCTGAATACAAATATAACCAGTACATAGTGGGTTGTGTGATTCAAAACTATCTTTTATCTGGAATGTTGCTCAGTTCCATAACATTTTCTTGTTCAAATGTACTTTGTTAAATTAAACTGATCTCAGTTTTTCTTTTTCAGTTTTAGCAGATTTGTAATAATCAAACTTATTGATATGGCAATATTGTACATCCACAGATGTCAGTTACAAGGAATTGAAAGGACCTTTTTTAAAGACTAACTAAGTCGATACTTGGGGGAAAACAACCTATATTTATAGGACAATTTCTTCTAAAATATGTGTAGAAGAGTACTTTATAATGTGAATTGAAAATAGAATTTAAAAATAAGATTGTTTTGTGAAAAGCATTTTGAAATCTTTGCAGTTTTTTCATAATACATGTTACCATGATCTTTTTCAGATCCCTCATATTGTTGAACTGATGATCTTAATTATTGCTAATATTTAATTCATGAGTACCAAAAATAGAGAGGAGTATTGGACCCTGTCACCAGCCTACAGAAGTGACCTCATTGGGAAATTAATTAAATCATTCCAGAATTAAAGGCCCCAGGTAAAAGCATAAGATGCATGCAACTGAATTTGAAAACAGTGTCAACCTACTGATTATGTTGAACTACTCATATTGTTAGATTAGCAATAAAAATAAGAGCTTATTATTTAAAATATATTCTAGATGCAAGATGTTCTAATTATAATGAAGCATTCATTATTCATAATGAGGAAGTGAAGAAAATATCTGGGACTTGAGAAATTCACTAGGGCATTGTTGGATTATTTGCTCAATTAAAAGACAATTACAAAAACTGTGTTTTGAGAAGATTCAGACTCCATGTTAACGTGTTACTTCACTGGACAAAAAAATATGGACAAATGTAAGTTGCGAGTGAAGGATATTTTAAAAAAATGTTATAAAAAAGAAAATGATGAATGAATAAATAAAATAGCTTGCACCTTTGATTTGAAGAATTTTAAGAATCTTTGAATTTTAAAAATTTTAATTCTAAGTCTTAAAAACCATGGATATCCTCTGCCTAGAAACATCATTAAGAGAGCAGATTCAGTGCAAAATATCAACAGATGTGGATTTCTGACTGCATTCAGCTCTGTTGATACCATGCCCAGCATCCTTTTAAACAATAAACTCTTGAGGATGTTTTACAGTGTAATGTCATTTCACCACCTGCTTATCCTACAACTTTGCTCAACCACATTTGGGTGCAAAATGGAAAGATAGACGTCAATATGTTAGGTACTAATATTCCCTTGGGTGATTCTCAGTCAATGTACAATACAGCTGGCTAGAAACAGAAAAATGTCCCTTCCTTCTTGTTGTCTTGTAACAAAATTTTGAAAAAAAAAAAAAATAACATGTGATTTTGTAGTAGATCTCCAAAAGGATCGAGTGCCTGTAGTCCAGAGCAATAATATATGTCCATGAACACACTTCTGGATGTTTTTTCTTCTTTCCATGTCTTATTTCCTCTACTTCATCAAATATTATTACTGAGCTTATGTCCCAACTAAACCACCTGCCCCAAGACTTGGACTCAGAGTCTAGACATAAGTATGTGTACACACAAACATATTCACACATGTATATATGGATTTTATATATAGAGAGATAGATAGATATAGATATATAACATATATATATCCACATATATATGTACTCATATGCTTGTGTAGGGCACCTTATTTGGAATATGACCTCTGGAAGGACATCATATAATCACACACTTACATATAAACCTGAATAGATAAAAGACAATTACTAATGATAGTAATTTATGCAATGCTCTTCCTGTGTATATGGAAGTCCACTTAGTCCACTTGTACCCATAGTACTATCGAACAATTAAGTTAGAAAAATATTGTGTAAATGAAATTATTGAACAAAATGAGCTAACTGGACTTTTTCTATGGGATGTGTACATACAACTGCAGATTTCTTTATAGTTTCAAATCTAGAAATACAAGATACAAGTAAGCCAAAGGCACACTGATTCTCATGAACCTTTTAACCTTGCCAGATGACTTATCAAGGGGGAAATACACACTTAGACAATAGAAAGGAGATACTTTGCATTCCTGTGTAGTTTAGATTCATTAGGCCTTAAGCATGAATAAAACAAGTTGAATTGTGAAGGATATTGATATTACATTTTCAATTTATATGTATGTACATATAATCACCATTAGATTAAAGTTTTATTTAACAAGCTACAGCATACCTTGACTATTACACATCTCATTTTTGAAAGAATACTATTAGCTATTCAAAACATTAACATTTTATCCTGACACAGTATCTTGTAATCTTAAATTACATTGTAAGCTCATATATATTTAAATAAATTTAGAAAGTCCTGCTTTACTACATAGCTAAATAGCAGCTTTCATAGAATTTAGATATGAAAGAAAAATAGGTATGATTATGTATCTATTTTATTCATTTTTAATATATCTCCAGATAAAATTTTAACAAGAATTACATTTAATTTTAACATGAATTAAATATATTAGCAAGTGAAAATGTTAATTACTTAGTCATTTTGCTTTAATATCTTTAATATTACTTGTCATTACATTCATAGGTATTTGCATGGATTTAAAATATCTATCATACATTTGTATTCATCATTTTCATTAGTTGCAAAATAGGTATATCAGTTATATCAACTTATGTGTGAAAACAACGAGGCTTAATGCCATAAACACCTTGGAAAAAGCCATTGGACATATGTAAATGTTTTCTTATTAGTGACAAATTTTTACATAACATTAAATCAAGAAAGTCAGGCAAATAATCCAGAAATGTAGCTTTGCACCAGAGTAATATTCTTGGTGTTGAACATACCAAATTAGTCCAGGTTTCATTTTTAAGGCTGTATTGGATATCTGCTAGGAAATTTCAATGCATGTGAAATATAAGTGGTTACTGATTTACCACAGAATGCACTTTATTTACAATCTCCAAGTCTGTCTTCAATAAAAACATGCATGTATTTCAGTCACCTTCACCACCTTCATTATAGTCATAGAGCCTTATAAATTAAACCAGGTCAGATAGGGAAAAAAAATCTTTAGTAATGAAAAGTCCTGAATAAAAGATAGTGTTTTACATCAGTTACCAAGTACCTTTGTTAACACTGAAATTCAAAATTATTCAAGTTTATGCAACATGAGAGGATTCTTACTGAACTGGAGCAGTGTTTCTTGGGCATTGGGTGTGCTAATGCTTGCTTGGATCAATGGTAGGTCTGCTCTTAGTCAAAGGCTAGCTATGTTGTGTGTGTGTGTGTGTGTGTGTGTATTTTCCCATTTACTAGGCAAATATTAAATTCCCTCCCATCTTATATTGGCATGACTCAATAACCCATTTAAGCCAATTGTGAAAATGTTCATCTCGACACTTTGGAGGTTAGTTAAAAAGAAGCAGTCAAGAAGACAGCATCATGGCATAGCTTGTTAAGCCACTGCCTTCAAAGCTGGTATCCCATAGGTTGCCAGTTCTGGCTGCTCCAATTCTGATCCAGCTCCCTGCTAATGTGCCTGGGGAAGGCAGCAACAGATGGCCAGAGTCCTTGTGGCCCTTCACTGATAACGGAAGACCTGGAATAAGCTCCTGGCCCCTGATTTGGCATGGCCAAGCCCTGGCTGATGTGGCCATTTCAGGAGTGAACCAGTGGATGGACAACCTTTCTCTCTCCCACACTCTCACTCTGAAATAAATAAAATAAATTATTAAGAAAAGGAGCAGTGGAGTTTAGAGAAAAACTTATGATTTTTGCTAAAAATTTATAGTTCCCATATAAAAGGTCACGGTGAGGAGGTCACAGGTAGGAGCTCCAGTCAATGCTCATGTGGAGAGCCAGCACTGTCTCCTGCAATCATTCAGATATTTTCCTAAGGAAATATTCAGTCAGAATGTTGAAATTGCTGATAATTTTTTAACTACATACAGTGAATATGGATAAAGAAATGATCTGTGAAAGCAATTATTTAAGTTTTCAAGCAAGCTATGAAATAAATATAGTGGAGTTGAGGATTGAAGGATCTGAAAATTAAATTGTTTCTTATTCTCAGCCTATATTGATATAAAAATGCCCTTAAAGTTAGAACTAGCTTCAGGGCAAAATGATCTTAATTTTGAGGCTCTATGATCATATAGGTCTTTGGAAATATTTAATGTGCAAACCATTGATATTCTTCACCATATGAAACGATTTTTAAAAAATGTTAAGCATCTTGCCTACAATCTCATAGTTGTGAACTTCAGTCATGTAAGGGCCAATCTCCAAAAGTTTTGTGGTGTGGTTTTTGTTTAATGGACTGACTCAAACAAGATCCCCAGACACCCAAGACCTTTCAATACATTTTGCCTTTTCCTGAGGCATAGAGATAGTTACAAACATAAGCCCTCTTTCAATGGACAGAGCACAGGCTGGAAATACTGAAACACTAAGAGATATCTATATATTATATAAAAATTGGACTGAAAGATCTAAAGGAGAGGCAGTGAAATTTAAGAGATCAGAGACAAGCCATGTAAATGCTCATTTGCAGGGAGTAGCTCTGAGCCCTTCAAGAAATGAAAAGTGCTTCCTGCCAGATAACAGAATTGTGATGGATCTTTAATGGCTGTTTGCATCCAATCCCTTCCATTTTTGAACAAGAATACTTACTGTGATCCCTCTGTCTCTGTCACACCTTTGTATATTTAAGCTTTAGGGGAAAACATTGGTTTTTAGTTCACAAATCTTCAAGATGGGAGGAATAACTGTGAGAAAGTGGAGATATGTTTAAATTTTGTTAAATATTGGAACTTATACCCCTGATTACACAATGATATAAGACACGTTCAGGTCTTTAGGAAAAGATGAAATTATTTTCCAAGCATGAGGAATATAAATATGTATGTACATATACGTGTATGTGTGTTTTTCGGATTTTGTTTTTGTTTTTTGCTCAGTAGGCAGATGTGAAAAGACAGCAAATCCTTTGCTATTCATCCTGTTCAGAAGTGGACTCAGATTCCTCACTTTTTGAATTTTGCCGAGGCTTGCTAACATTTTTGGTTGATATGTTATAGATAAGATGTTCTCACACTTGCAATGCTAGGACATTAGATAACTCCTTGTTTCTATAAGAGTATCTTGAAACAGTTTCTCTGGGAGTCCTGAGGTGGCATGTAAAATGTTTGACTTCTCTGAGATTACCCTGCTAGAATGCTTTTTTAGGCACTTAGTTTAATAGTCCCAGTAGAGAAAATCCTTCCAGCCAGTCTCACTAAAACTGTAGACATCTGAACGAAGGTGTATTGGACCTTGAAGACCATCCCACCTGCCATTAGAGTAATTACATTGTGACATTTGTCAATGTCACATGAAACAAAATAATTGCTTAAAGGATCAGTTTGGAATCCCATTCCACAAAATTCTAATATCTAATATAAAAGGGTTTCTGTTAAGCCATAAATATTTTGACTACTTTACTATTCATGATGGATTATCACAACAAATACATCTGAATACTTGCTTCTCCCCCAAATCAAAAGTGCAAAATTCTTTACAACCCAATGGCAATGAATTGCATTTGGTTTCACACTCAACATTCTTGTTATTTTCACCATACTGTATTGGTCTTACGTTGTCACTTTTTCCATCTTTCCTTTCTTGGCCAGTGTTGTGGCGTAACATATTGGGGCATGGCCGGCATCCCACGTAGGTGCCAGTTCCTATTTCGGCTGTGCGACTTCTGATCCAAATCTCTGCTAGTGTGCAAGGGAATGTAGCAGAAGATGGTCCAAGTACTGAACCCATGTGGGTATCTGGATGAAGCTTGTGGCTTCTGTCTAGGCCAGCCCTGGCTGATGCAGCCATTTGGGGAGTGAGCCAGTGAATGGAAGATCTCTCTCTTTCTCTTTTATGCCTTCCTCTCTGTCTATAATTCTTCTGTCAAATAAAATAAATCTTTAAAAAATACGGTGATAAATCTGTTTATACCTAGTAAACCTAAGAAGCTCATTACAAGTGCCAAATATTGAAGAATTTCATAACAACTATTTTCACTGGTTTAAGTTGGTATGCCTTTACTTTATTGTTTCACTACCCAGAATTGATCTTTATCTTTGCTTTCTATATTTTCTATATTCATGTTTATGTTTTTTACTGGAAGGTAACCTCCTTGATGTGTCACTATGCCCTATTTATATCTTTTTATTCTAAAATATTTACATAATTACTTGACACTGACACAGTAGCAACAAAAAATGATGAACTTTCATGTAAAACAGAGATATTGCTATAGTGGGTTTCCATTGTGTGTTTGAATATAATGCTTCCACTTGACCAGCAAGACCTGTCCTGGCCTTCTGTCTTTGTTGGAGATCAATTACAAGTTGACCAACTGTAGGAAGAGGATAGGCAAGACAGTCACAAAGTGTCACTCCTCACTCCCATACGAACATTCATTTCCAAAAGGACAGAGTTAAAGGCCAGTGGGTGTTTTTACAATAAGTTTATATAGTGGCATCATCAGGCAGGTGATCCATTGGATTGGGCAATGGCCTTCGTGCATACTTTGTTAGTCATTACAATTTTTAAAGATTCATTTATTTATTTGAAAGACAGTTACAAAGAGGCAGAGGCAGAGAGAGAGAGAGAAGTCTTCCATCCACTGATTCACTCCCCTAGATGGCCCAATGGCTAGAGCTGCATCAATCCGAAGCCAGGACCCAGGAGCTTCCTCTGAGTCTCCTACATGGGTGCAGGGGCCCAAGGATCTGGACCATCCTTCACTGTTTTCCCAGGCTTTAGCAGAGAGCTGGATAGGAAGTGGAGCAGCTGGGACTTGAACTAGTGCCCATATGAAATGTCAGCACTGCAGGCAGCAGCCTTACTCGCTATGCCACAGCGCCAGCCCGCTAGTCATTAATTTTTACAGAAGTTACAAGTTTCTGTTCTCTTGAGATTCGGAATGGTTTCTATTGCACTGATTTGAAGGAATCACAGAGGCAGTTGTGAAAGGTTTTGGTTCTTGTGCTGCTGGTGAGATTACCTACAAGTCCCATTTTCATGATTCTACAATGATTTCTCCTGA